CGGCTCGCTATCCTGCCAACATTGCATGAGGTCCTCCTTGAGTTCCTCTGCCCACCTAATCTTTTGTACAGCCGGGTTGTTACCATTGGATCCTGATCGTTCACCCCTCCCAACTGATCCGCAGCCCCCGTCTGAGCGGGACCGATTGTGTGGGTATAGGTGCCGCCGGGTGGTTAGCCCGACACCACCATGGCTATTGCGGACATGCCGGGCGATGGGTTATTTATTATTATTATTATTATTATTATTATTATTATTATTATCATTATTATTATTATTATCATTATTATTATCATTATTATTATTGCTATTGATATTATTATTATTATTTATTTCAGCGTAAAGGATACATAGCCCCATCGCAGAGGGGGATGAGATATACAAAGTATATATATTGTGTAATCATACAAAGAAAGAAATAAGAAAAATTTCACATTCGGAAGAGCAAAATAATATAAACTAAAGTGTAAAAAGAAAACAAAATAAACTGTGAGAAATGCACAATGAGGATCAGCTGGCCTAAAAGCAATAGATCTGTAAGAGCTTAGCCCTAAGTTACCAATCATGCACAGAAGCTTAAAGATCTTTGAGCAGAGCGAATTGTGGCATTAAGTACATAAATGATTCGTCTAGTAGTTGAACAATTTAAAGCGCATCTATAGATAGCTTTGGTCTCAGACAAACTAGCATTAAAAACTATGTTACATAAGGTGCGATTCAAAAAGTGCGGAAAGCTAGTGTAGAGGCTAGAGCGCATGTTAGCAGTGACAGGACGGACTAAAAAGAAGTGCTCAAGAGTATCAAGATGGCCAAGATCACAATAAGCACAGGCGCCTCTTGAATTGAAAGAGACTTTTTCCTTAGAAATATAGAAATAGCAACTAAAATTATTCGCGTCTCAGTTGAGCCATCACGCGTTTAATGTGCAAACTATGATTTTCAGTAAGATAATTAGATTTCCATACAGGATTTGAAGGACGAAATGATGGAATGAGCTGGCATGAGGATGAACATCGCAAACTCCCAAGGTCCAGACCTCTGAGGTGACTCTCATAATTGTTAAAGATTTGGATAGTACAGGAGGATAAGGAGGAAAAGTTGAAATCATTCAAAAGATCAGCATGGCCATTATTAGTGAGAAAGATTTTAATTTGAGAGACCCAATTGTATGATTCATCACAACTGGAATCACGACTTAGATCTAGCAGTCGAGAGATGCAGATTCTGGGGAGGAAGGAGCTAACCTGTTTCAAGATTTTCAAGAGCCAGTCCCAAGTTAGCTTCATAACTCTAAATTGAACATGTGTTAAATTTGTCTCAAACCTAATCAGCCATCCGGGGGTACATCTGGGAAGATTGAGAGTACGTTTGAAAAAGTATAGTTGCACTCTTTCTAGATCTTCGCTTTGGAGGAGACCCCAGGCGGGGATAGCTTAAAGGAGAGTGGAGCTTACAAGCCAGTTATAAAGAGTTGCAAAAGTCCTCCAAGAGCTGACGTTCAAGCTTGTGAGGCCTCCGAGAGTAGTTGCCATCCTCACCTTGGAAAGCGCATACCTAGCCGCCACGTTGCGAGAAAAAGGTACATCAAGATAGAGATAAGACCTGACGACCTCAAGCTCAGAATCCTTGTATAACATGAATCTGGAGGGCAGATTTTTTATTCTTAAGGCCGAATAAAAAAGCTCAAAAAAAAAAAGTTGAAAGGGCCGAGCACCCTTTGCAACTTGATGTGTGAGTCTACCAGAATGGCAGTGTCGTCTGCGTAAAGCAACATCAAGACATCAGACAAACCGTCAATATCTAATCCGAAGATATTCCTGTCCCGAAAAAACTCTCAAAGTCGGTAATGTATAAAATAAATAAAAGAGCGCTCAGCGTTTCTGCCTGAAGAACCCCTTCAGTGACCACGAACTTATCAGAGAGTTGGTCATTACTCTTGATCTGGATCTTAGCGTTATCGTAAAGGGACTTAATGATTCTGATGATTTTCGAGCTGATACCCAGATCATTGAGCGTGGACCAGAGTCTGGAGTGGGGTACCAAGTCAAAAGCTCTGCGGAAGTCAACAAAAATCGAATAAACCTCTCACTTCAGCAGTCGCAGCTGGAACTGGACAGCGGAGAGGAGTGTGAAAATTGCCTCGGCGCACCCCCTACCAGCCCTGAAGCCAAACTGCGATGGAGGAAGAATCTTCTGACTCTCAACCCATTTCTCAAGCCTATCCTTCAAAATATATGTAAAAATCTTCGTAATGTGATTCACAAGAGTAATACCACGGTAATTGACAGGATCGGAGTGATCACCTTTCTTGAAAATCATAGTAAGAAGAACATTAGACCAATCTTCAGGACATACTTCACTTTCCAGTATTCGGTTGAATAAGTTAACCATATATTTTATCCCACTAAAAGGCAAGGCTGAGTAGAATTCATTAGCAATAAGGTCCGGACCAGCAGCCTTGTTAGCTTTGAGTTTCTTAAGAATAAATTCTAACTCCAACACAGATATTTGTTGCTTGAGCTCGGGGATGATGTTGATTGTTGGAATAAAAACAGGAAGGTCTCTTGGTGGACAGACTTTTTGAAACTATTCCATCTGTCAATAGAAACCCCACAAACAAACGGTAACTTGGGTTTGATTTTCCTATAGGCTTTCCAAAAAGAATTACAGTCGAAAGCATTATTCAGAGTTACAGTTAGCCTGTTTCTAAATTGTTTTTTCTTGAATTTCGTGAGCGACTTGAATTCACGTCGCATTTGAAAGAAAGTTTTACGAGTCGTATGACAGTATCTATTTCTTTTAAATTCATTCCTAGACTTGATTAGGTCACGAAGCTTGGCACGCATATCTGGATCCCTAGACCAAGGAGAGGAGAGGACTGAGGGACTTTGGCTGTGTCTTTGAGTAGGGAGCATGAGGGGAGATTGCAAGAAGCCAGCCTGTGTGGCAGCGCTAACTATCGCAGAATGAAAGAGATTATTCATTTGATCTAGAGCGAGAAAGGGATGAGGAGTGAAACTAATGAGAGAGAGGTCGATAGACTTGGCGTAGATCTCGAGACCATTCTGGTTTGAAGGGAGCCATTTGAGACATGGATTAGATTTTAAAAACACAGGTTGAGGGGGGGATGAGATGTCAGGGAAGGCAAAGGAAGGGGGACGTAGTGAGAAAATTACCGGGAAGTGATTGGAGAAAGGAATGAACGAGTCAACCTGAGGCTTGAACCAAATGTAAATGCGAGGATTTCACAAAAACTAAATCAATAACACTGATGCCCTGATGACCGAGGAAGGTCCAATTGGCTGGCCTGTCACCCACCACCCGACCATTGATGAGTACATATGCATTTTTTACCATAAAATCCGTGAGATATGGAGCCCTGTCGCTAACATATGAGTCGGAGTTTAAAACATCATTAAAGCAGACTGTACCATCAAAGAGTTCAGGCGGAATAGCGCCAGAGCCGCCAAAACGAGTGTTAAAATCACCTCCAATCACGACAAGTTTTGCAGTTTTTCTAAAAAAGACGAGAAATTAGCAGAGGGTTTAACATACATATTACCAATAACAAAGTTTAATTCTTCAGATTTAATTCTACAAAAGATCCAGTAGCTACAAATACTTATCAAAAATGAAGCCATCTTGGAGAGAGTCCCAAGCCCACCACTAGGCCGGCCTCCATCAGCGTTCAATGCTGCGTCCTTCCAGTGGCAGGAAAGGTACGAAGAGTAGATGGAATATAGAATGGAGTTGCAGTAACCCATGTTTCGGAGAAGCAGAAGATGGAAGCGTTGTACAGTGGGTGCCCACTCAAGATCAAGTTTTCGAAAGCATGAAGATTCCGGAAGACCAGTTGGATACTGTTGTGAGACATCAGTTTGTTGGAATCACTGCCATGCGACTGATTCCACCTTCCGGAATGGACTGAGAGTGTTGAGGATCAAAGAGAGCGGACTCCTCATACTCCATTCTCTGAGGGCTAGCTAGCCTGGGTGAATTACTAGGGGCGAGAGGCACCATTCTTTCTGCTGCATTGTCCATCGATGCTCAAGGTTGTCAATCGATAAAAATCGAGTATTGTACTTGACTGGTTTGCAATCTAATTTAGCTCGTTTAGCCATCTCCCTAATGCAACGATACACTTTGCTTTCAAAAGATGTCAGATCACGTTCAATAAAAATATTTCGAAGGTAAGGTTTCTTCGAAAGATTTTTCTTGCTTCCAAGAATTTTCAACTTATTATCGAAGGAGTTGAGCTGAACTATAATCAGATTTGGAAGCTTCCCACGTAGTTTAACGAAACGAACGTCAGAGACGACTTCCTGCAGCTCAAATTCATCCCTTAAAAGGTTGGAAACGTCACGTTTCGCAGTGGCAGCTGTGGTGACAAGACCTCGAATTACAATATTTAATTTTTTACTGTCCCTCTCCAGTAGGTCTTATGAAGACCAACGATGATAGAGTTCTGAGAGTTATAGGACCCAAGAGCACCTCCTCCAGTTTCTAGAGCTGGAAATTTTTCGACAACCAACTTCTCAAAATCGTCGTGCTGTACCTGAAGGTGATCATTGTTGCTGTTAATTTTCTCTTCAAGATTTTTACAGGTCGTGCTAATATCATTTTTGAAGGAAATCAGATCCTGTTTCAGATTATTGGACAGGTCGATAGAGCTTCGAAGGAGACGAGAAAGCTCTGCAAATTGCTTCCGGGCATTAATTTCCATTCTGGAGTGCTTCGCCTCTATAGTGTCCTCCTCCGCAGGTGCCTGAGAATTATCCTGGCCACTCATTATTGAAGAAGCTTTGGGGGAGGTGAGAAGAGTCACTAGAGAATCCTGACTTGAGAGAAACAGGAAGTGCTGATCATACATAGAGCTGTCAGAGGAAACTAGTTGTCCTTGCAATGGGGATCTTCTATTGTTTTTGAACGAAAAGTTCAAAACTTTCAATTGCTTACTAGTGTAAGTTGAGCTGTGGAGAGGCGAGTCTTTTCTCTTGCGTATGACAGCTCTGGATGGACTTGACGATGCAGTTGGCGAGACACACACAGCTGACAGGTCTGCTAGGGCTGAGAAGAAGGATATCTTCTCAGCTGAGGAAATCTTGTTATCGGCTACTGGCGAAGATGTTGACACAGTAGATTTCATTAGCAGCCCTGAGTTACCGACCGCTGGGCACAGTCCCGTCTCCTGGGATTGAGCACAAATATAACCACGTTTTCGATGGGTGAATCTAACCTCACCAAAATGTCCGGCTATTTTCAGGAGCTTCAGAAATATAGACCCTCATACGTGCATCTGAGATTAATGCCCGATGGAGAAGAGCACACTTTTAAGGACACTTTAAGTACACTTTTACGCCCCAAATGTGAAATAAAACTTTGAAAAAGATCAACTGGTCGAGTAACTAAAAATAACGATGTTACTCAGCCAGTGCGATGACAGCCCCCCCATTATGTCCCTTATGAGAAGAGAGATCTTGCATTTTATGAAATGCATAAAGCTCCATTGGGTGGACATAAGGGTGTTTCCAAAACATATAATCGAATCAAGGAAAATTATTTTTGGGAAAATTTAAAAGAAGATGTGCAGCGTCGCATCCAACAATGTTTAGAATGTCAACTGAAGCAATTACAGCGCGTCAAGGCAAAGCAACCGATGGTCATTACTGATACACCGGGTACAGTATTCGATAAAAATCGCAACGGATCTCGTCGGTGCAAAACAATTAACGAAAAATGGAAATGTATGGATTTCAACTATACAAGATCTCCTATCTAAATTTTTAATCGCAATTCCTCTTGGCGACCACAGTGGCGGATGCTTTTGTTAAGAAATTCATTTGTCTTTTCGGTTCTCCCAAAACCGTAATCACTGAGCAAGGAACCAATTTCATCAGTGGAATGATGCAACGTGTGGCTACTCGATTCAGAATCAAAAAGTAGACTACATCTACTTATCATCCACAATCCAATGGTTCGCTTGAAAGATCTCATTATACACTAAGTGAATATTTGAAACAATACACTGAATCAGACGATGATTGGGACGAATGGTTAGACCTGGCCACATTCTCATAACACAAGCGTACACGAAGGTACCAAATACACACCATACGAGATAGTATTTGGTAAGCTTGCGAGGTTGCCCTCGAGTGAACCCATTCATGAGTGCCACCAATTGTCTACTTATCTCAACTATTTAGTTGAATTAGTTGCTAGATTACATGGCATCAGACAATTGGCTTATGACAATTTGGTATCGGCTAAATACAAATCCAAAATTTATTACGACAAACACATAAATCCACAGAATTTTAAAGTTGGAGATTTCGTATTCTTGTTAAGGGATGGAAAAATCGGAAAAACAAAAGATCATTATACTGGACCCCATAAAGTTCTTGATTTATTTCCAAAAGGAGAAGTAAAAATTCAGTTGAACACTAAGAAAACTCAAATCATTCATGTTAATTGTCTGCGCATCTCATTCATCAACTCTATTAGAGACGTCTCTAAGGGGAAACGGAAGGCTGAAGCTTATAGGGAAGAGCAAATAGAAGAGGGTTCATGAGAAGAAAATTAGAGAAAATTTTAAATTGGGAAATTATTGTAATTATTTCAGAGATGAAGCTGACGATCTTGGTCGTCATCTGGCTTATAGACAAAACACAAGCATTGATCGGATATGATTGTGGAACGCCAACAGCTAGCATCACCACCATATCACTCCTTGATGTGGGTAAGTGCGATATTTCAGATGATAACATTCGCGTTAATCAAAATTTTGTTCAGTTAATTCAACTTATGGATTATCATGAACCTAAAGTCATTCAGTGTAAAATTAAAATTTACCGTATGATTACTCATTATGGAATGCATTCACATGCCGCGGTAGTAGACGGAGGCAACATGCAATACATTCATGAAATTTCTGGGGAAAGTTGTTTAGAGTGGCACAGAAAATAAGAATTGATACTTGGGGGAACACTGATAACAGGATTAATAATAAATGGAACAACTATTAGACCAATGAGTTTCGCAGGAATAGTTGAAACAAATGATAGATGTGATCCTGCCAAATATTCTGATCCATTCGGGACATGGAATAATGTAGTCGTTACAGGTTATGTCGAGATCACGTTACAAGACGTTACCCCTCCCAATTAATAAGACGCGTGTTTCCTCAACCAACCTACCCCCTCTCTCTAAATAGTGCACTCAGCACTCATCCGCACCTTATTCCCCACCCCCATACAATTAAAAATTCGTGTATGCATTTACATCCACGAATTAATAATCGACGACGCAAAAAGGGCATCGCCCACGCATCGTCAGTCAGTCGTAGTTCCGTCCCAGTAGAGAACAGAAAATAAATTCAATTTCTAGTTCCGCATTTCCGTGAGATCAAAAAGTAAAAAAAAAGTGAATAATTCTTGACAACGGAAGCGTCAGATAAAATCCAAATTTTTCATGTTCAATTTTCGCGAGTGAAATCCGAAATTTTTACATTTAATTTTTCGTGATTAAATTCAAATTTTCAAGTTCTATTTTTGCGAGTGAAATCCGAAATTTCCACATTTAATTTATCGTGATTAAATTCAATTTTTCACATTCTATTCTCGCGAGTGAAATACGAAATTTCCGCATTTAATTTTTCGTGATTAAATTCAATTTTTCATGTTTTATTTTCGGGAGTTAAATCCGAAATTTCCGCATTTAATTTTTCGTGTTTAAATTCAATTTTTCATGTTCTATTTTTGATTCCATATGTATACCCTCTCGGGTTTTTACATTTTGTTCCCTTCCCTATCTGCGTTACCATGAGCCGACTTACTTTATCCCCAACTGCACCCCATTCGGGATTGGAGAGCCAGAGAAACCATGGAAAAGCTCGGTCGTGCAGCCGGCCGATAATGCAGGGATTCCACTGGGCCCATTGGCCACACTGACTCAATGGGCACAATGGTTCTTTGCGCTCGTGCCTAGCGACTGGAGTCCCACGCGGTTAGGTGTGCTTAAGCGGACACCCATCCAAGTACTGGGCAGACTGAATGCTGCTTAGCTTGGATAACCGCCGGAGCCACACACTCCCCGCGTGACCACTACAGCCACACTTTTCATGTTTTATTTTCGCGAGTGAAATACGAAATTTCCGCATTTAATTTTTCGTGATTAAATTCAATTTTTCATGTTCTATTTTCCGGAATTAAATCCGAAATTTCCGCATTTAATTCTTCGTGATTAAAGTCAATAAATTCAATTTTTCATGTTCTATTTTCGCGAGCAAAATATGAATTTTTCGCATTTAAATTTTCGTGATAAAATTCAATTTTGGCTTCAAATCATCTTGATGAGTGACTTCAGAAAAAAATATCGAGAGGAATAACATCTGTACTTACGAAATCATTCCTCTTTATTAACTCTAACACAATTCTGATCATGAATTAATATCAGAAATTTTGTGCCAAATACCATAACCTCTGAAATGTCACGTGGAGGGAAGTTTAACGTTTTGATGCATTAGGTTGTGTTCGAGTGAATGATCGAGTCAACAAGTGATTTTAGAGGAGATGTCAGGTAATATCGTTCGTTGATGATTCTGTCAGCTAAAAAAAATTTTTTTGAGTTCTAACACTGAAATCTTTATAAAAATTTATTTCATGATTACTCTGAAACCAAGGATTTCAGTAGAAAATGTCTAGAGACATTTTTTCCTGTTTACAATATTTCATGACATTTTCCCCTAATCACTTACCGTTTTAATGATGTCATGACAGATGATAGATATTCATTCAGTAATTTCTGGAAAGAAATATTTTGGTGCCAAATGATCTAATCCTAGATTTTTTGATAATGAATGATTTCAGAATAATTTTCATTCGTTTCTCATAAGAAAGCCCAAGAAGAAAAACTTAGAATTCATGTCCAAGAATTTCATTAAAAAATGAAAATCCATTGACTTTTCTATCAAACAGCCCTTATAGAAATGACGCAAAAAATTAATAGAATTTTCCAATGGAATTCTAGTAAGATTCCAATAGAAATTCGATGGACTTTCTATTGATTTTTCTATTGAATTTCTTCATACCTGTGGACATTCTGTTTTTTGGCATTTCCCTAGAATCAGTCTTTACCAAAAAAATTCAGAATTGTTCAATTATTTTCCGTTGAAAATCGACTTTCTTTCGTCATTCTCTGTTGAATTCCCGATTATAGATCTTATAATTACTCAATCGATGAATGAAATCAAGAACAAAAGAAATTTCGTATCTTCTGTTTAGCTATAACATACTTACGAGTCTTTTCCTCATATCATTTCCGGATGGATCTCTAAAATTGAGTTACGACAATGATATGAGGAAAAAAGTCGGTCGTTTTTTATGATTAGTACTATATATGTCCCTTTTTATTTCAGCTTTATCTGGCCCAACTTTCACCACCGCCACCAGCACCACCACCACCAGAGCTCAGAATGGACCAGCAGCAGCCGCAAAGAGCCCAACAGCAGCAACATCCACCAGGAGCCCAACAGCAGCAACATCCACAAGGAGCCCAACAGCTGCAACAGCCACAAGGAGCTCAACAGCACCAGCAGCCGCAAGAACTCCAACAGCAGCAGCCGCAAGGAGATGAACAGCATCAGCAGCCGCAAGGAGCTCAACAGCAATAGCAGCAGCCACAAGAAGTCCAACAACAGCAGCAGCCGCAAGGAGCGCAACAGCAGCAGCCGCAAGAACCCCAACAGCAAGAAAATCAACATCGTCGTGGGGGCAATGGAAGAGGGAATAGAGGAAGTCGGGGAGTTCAGAGGGAACGCAGGATTCCAAGGCGGCAGAGGTGGAAACGGCAGGTCCGGATGGAATCAGAGCGGTGGAGGGAACGAAGGGAACAATGGAAATGGACAAGGCAGGGAGAATTATGGGAAACAGAGAGCTAGGAAGAATCTCGACGACTGTAATAGTCGGTGAGTTCTCATTTCAATCATAATTGTTCAAGCGTGCCCTCGGGTTTACTTTTTCTTATTTTTTCATTCTAACTGTCCATTTCCTTATAATTTCAAAATACTCTCCCTTTCAGGTATTGGAAGTGTCAGTTCTTCCAATTGAAGAACAATAGAGCTCGGGGACGTGGTTCTGGCGGCATTATTGTCAATCATAATTATTATTCTGCCCGATCATCTTGATTTTTTTGAGTTCATCTTTGAATCTTTGGAGATTCCATAAAATTTCCTCATTGATCGGGTTTGCTAATAATGTATTGAGACGCGGGATAGAAAATTGATTCAACTTGTTGGAATCTTTCTCATTCAGTTGCTTCAAACGCGAAGGAAGTTGAGAACTGCTTCTTTCGAGTTGAATCCTTTTTTATCTCAATGTGATTCACTGTTAACAAACTTCTTCTATGGGGCAATTCATGAAACTTTCTCAGTCTCTCCGTACTCCTAGGCATGGTACTTCCGTGCATTTCTCATATTCCCTTCATGAAAGAGTAAGTGTTCATTATATTTTGAATTAGAAAATGATTAATGAATTTTCATCTTCACATATTCTTCTTCTTTTGAGACTTTTTCATGAAGACGTAGAAGCAGCAGCTGCTAGTCGAAACTGTCTTTTCGACAATTCAGACAGGTGATTGTCTTTATTTATTACGGATTATTCTGAATCAATGACATAACGCGTTCTTCCTTTTTTCAGATTCATTCATGGATATTCGAAGATGGCTCCTGCCAAGGATCATGATACGAAGAAACTTATCAAGCTGTTTCTTGTATCATCTTCAAATACATTTAATTTTTTATATTATAAACTGTGTAGAAATCCAAAAATGAAAAACAAAGTTGAAAAATACGGAAAAACAAGTGATTAAGTGCATTTTTTTTTGTATTACCAGGACACGAAAAATTGGAAATTCAAGTTTTAAAAATCACAAAGCTTAAATTCGGCAGCGAAAAGTCTTCGAATAAATCCTTCGCCCATCCCATCCTCTCTTTGCTCAAATCAACAGCGTATCCATTCCATTCTCTATTCCATTCCAATCCATCGATTTAAGCTTTTTCACCCTCATGAACTTCATAAACGTAAAATATATGAGAATAAGATTCTAATTTCATTTAATCAATTAAAAATCTAAAACATTCTCCCAAACAATAAAAATACTTTCCCAAACATCCCTGAATGATTCCCGAGTGATTGCATTACTCGATTCATTCATAATTAACTAAGGGCCTCCGTAAAATCAAAAAGCACAAGCGATATACAATAAATATAGGTTATAGGATATAAACAATAGGTTCTCAACGTTTCGTAGTGAATGTGCGAACGCCCAAAACGCACAATAGAACAGATATGAGCTACAAGAATAACATTATAATCTCTATTTGCTGCTTATCGTTTGTACTCTTTTTTGATTATGCGGAACCCCTAATTCATTCAACAACACATCGACTTTTAATTAATTCCGTCGCTAGGGGGCGACCGGTTATCGATTCCTCTACTGACTTTCCTCCATTCATCGATTCTACTCGAATTATAGTCTGTGGCTGATATTTTATACCTCAACGCGTTTATATTCTTAATGAGTTGTGGTTTTGTTTTACTTGATGAAATATCTTGTGGTATAAATACGATTAATTTTCATGAATTTCAGGAGACCTCCTTAGACAGAACGCCGTGGACGATTTTCCACAGATTTCTAACCTGTAATTTTGGTAATTCTTTTCGCCTTCTTATCTTCTTTTCTGTTCGTTATTTCCAATCTATTTCGTCTTTTAACTATTGTCATTAAACTCTTCCTAGCTCTGGTTCTCTCATAATTCCTCCCTACCCGTTTTTACTGTCTCTAATTTCTCTTGATCCTTTTTCTTCTTCTCGAATATCATCTTTCATCTCGTTTCCTCTCATCTATCCCATTCTGCTCCAGTTTTTCTCTCTCTGTTCTTTTTTCTGTTCTTCACTCCTGTTTCATTCATCTTAAAATTGTTAATTTTTTCCATTTGTTTTCAACTGGCTTACAATAAACTTTCACGTTTGCCAGCAGGATTTCACATTTATCAGCTACTTCAAGCTGTGTCTCGTGGTTTTCAGCTTATTGATAGGTGTGTCTCTTGACCACTCAGCTTCTTAAGAGCTGTGTCTCTTGACCATTGAATTTAATCGAAAGCTGTTTTATCTTTATCATCAGCATAACTGAGCTGTTCCTCTAGAATATTCAGCTCTCTAAGAGCTGTTATCGATCATATTGTTTGTAAGGATATTTTCCCGGGTTATTCACCTAGGAAAAATCCAAACTACTTTTTAGCCGTCTCTATCGCTCAATAGTCGGACGCCAGCCGAACCTTCACGGGAGGTTCAACGAAAACTGGCCTCTGAGGCAAACTCGTCCACTCAGAGGACTTTTGGCCGGACAACGGGTTGCCTAGCTAACATCAGCATGATACGGTAGAGTGGGCGAGGTCCACCAGGAGTATTACCACCACATCCTCACGAGCCTTTGCAAGCCGTGTATTATACCTTGCGGCATCACTTTCCATGATGAATTAAATTCATGACCTCCTGGAGAATGTTTCGACTCTGCCAGTGTTCATTCTCCTCCCGAGTCTTTCGACTCGGGGAAGTTTTTCAGAGCTAAATGCGAATCAGCCGGGATACCTCAGAGCCTGGGACGCCGAGAGGCTGATCCGACCAAAGTGGAACACTGTTACCCACTTCACGACCACCCACACTCTCGGCCACCAGTTACCGCTTGGGTCATCGCTCGTCACCGTCTTCGGGTACTCAAATGTCGGCACATGGTCGGGTCGACAGGAGGACGATCTCTACTACAGACCCACGGGCCCATGTGCTCGGCATTTGTTTCGCCGAGCCGGATGACGCCGGAAACAACAAAGTCGTCACTTCGTGTGCTGAAATAACTCCTTTTTTACTAGTGGGGGATGCAGGAGCATCCCCCTACGCTCGCCGCCAACGGTTACATATCATTGGATATCTTCCCTAATGGCTACAAATTCGTTGACTCCAGAGCATCATCTAGATGAGATAACTTCCCGAATGTTTCATTCAGCTTATATAAAATTCTTTTAACATTCCTCACAATGGGAAAGTGAGATGCTAGCATTTCAACAGCGAAAAACAAAGATTGCCATGGATTCTGCTGCATGTAACACTGCACCAAATGGCATAACTTATTTTGCGAATGTTTGAAGAAACAGCCTTGCAAAAACTCTGGGAGTGTGCGTAACTTTTGCACCGCCAGACGCTCGAGAAACTTTTTATAATCCTCTAAGACATCTTCATTCTGCACAACTTGGCAATATTGATTACACACCCATTTTTTTCTATGTAACCTATCTTTAATCAAGGGCAATATATTCATAGCTTGCCCTTTCGAATTCATTTCTATTTTGTATATTTTTGGAATATCAAATGCATATATCATTTCATAAAAGTAAGATTCTGTCGATGATGTATGCCTAGATAATCCACAAAGGTTCGTTGCTTTATGTCCATTTTTATTACCATGCATTCTAGTGAGATGATGATCTGCTAATTTATGGAGTGTACTCAGCGAGCGATTCAAGTCTTTTATGTAACTTTTTCTTTGTTCCATACACCATTTGACTATCTTTTGTGCTTCCAGTCTTGATAACGTCTGTCAATTTTTCAACGTATTCTTCAGGACGAGACTTGGTTGAGATATGTTCTTGTTTGACTTCTTGTGTTTTAGAATTAACTGTTACAGTTTTTGCGTTGATAACTTTCTTTCCTTCTTGTTTCATTGATTTTTTATTACCGGATTTTGGTCCATTTATTTTGATCTTGTTAAGGTCTGTCAATTTTTCAACGTATCCTTCAGGACGAGACACGGTTGAAATATTTTCTCGCTTGACTTCACGGGTTTTAGAATCAACTTCGGTAGTTTTTTCTTTGATTGCTTTCGTTTTTTCTTATTTGCTTGATTTTTTACCGCAGGATTTTTGTCTATTTTCCAATACCGTTAGCGATTCTCCGGATATGTGACTTTCTCGTTCTTCACATGAACAGTGTTTATGATATTTGTTTTAGAATGGCTCAATTCACGAAGATCAACGTCATCGGCTGCATCAATGTTTACCATATCAGCAAAGGCATCTCTATCATCTGATTTTAGCCGTAATGTGCCAGCGTTCCCGTTCTCAGATGTAATATCAGATTGTCTCTGACGAGGACATCTGTCCACATTGGGTTTTTCATTATCAGTATACTCAAGATTCTTCGTTTTTTCGCACTTTTGATTAGAATTATTCGAGTGTAGAGAGTTCCTATCAATAAGATTGCGCTGGTTATATGCGTACCGCTCCTTTCGTCGGATATCTGGTAGAGATAACGATTTAGATATGTTAAAGTTTGAAATGGTTGGAAATGGCCTAATTTCCATTGTTTGGAATATATTGAACAAATGTGGACGCATCTTCGACGTATCATATTGGACATATTCTGGTTTTTCTCTGAATAGTACAGTAACAGCAAAGGATATAGCGAATAGGCTACAGTCAACTGAATTATTTTGAGTTTGAACGGTCATAAATCATACTGAATTATTTGAGACGTTGTAAACTGGATAGAGACGCTGTAGAAATACAATGTGATCATTGTGTAACAAATGACTGTTCAGAGAGTCATAGATGTAAATGTGTTTACCATCATAGAAACTACAAACCCAATGCCCTAATTTTCCGCTACCTTGGATATCATTACTATACAAAAGCTGAATATGTTTCTTCGCAAGAGGTATTGGTATGATTCTGTCTGGCTTTTGCACCAATAACATATCTTGAGGGCAATAATCTGAGTGTCTAGACAAAATGTGCCCAAAGAATCTAATATGCTCGTCTTTCAGTCGTTCATTACTACAGATCATGTTCATCCATTCATCACGTAAGGGTGCCAAATTACGATTTTGGAGATTTCGACGTGTCTTTTTACAAGGTACCCCTGTATCACCGTCACAAGGTATATCGAAGAGAACTCGCTTCGATGGAAAGTTTTTGATGCCTTGATTCTTGCTGGAATCATTGGTTCCCATATCTAATACACTTGTATTCTCCTGCAATTAATTTCCATCAATTCGGTCTCGATTGATTTCTTTATTCTCCAGTTGCATATTTTCCTCATGTCCATTCAACAATAATCGTTTTTCCTTCATTGGATTACATGGCATTAATGTTGTTCGCTTCCGAGAATGCCTTGAGCACGTATGCATTGTACTAGATGGGAACTTGGTAATTATTCTAGTTTCGAACATTTGCAATAAATGCTGACGCATTGTTGATACATCATGTGTAATTTCCTCTGGATTGTCTACAAAAGCAATCGAAACAGCAAAAGCGATTGCGAAAACCCCACAATCACTGAAATTCGGTTGCTGTTGAACTTTGTAAAATTTAACATTCGTGTTATCATCAAAGACTAGTAAAGGGTATAACATTCGTAAATATATTCTATGACGTTCGTTAAGCTCATATGCATTAGAGGAATCATAAACATAAATAGACTCAGTGTCGAAAAAAGTACAATGATGTAGTATATGAATATGTGGGTTTTTGGGATTGATAGGTTCCAGGAATTCTGGGAGCATGAATGTCCACGCAATTCAAACTGAAATTGGTCATGTAAAAGTGCAGCGAAGTAGTCGATTTCATCATCAGATAACCAGACCTCTCGCCCATTTGCTAAGATTATTTGACGATTGAATGAAGGCATAATGACTGAAAACACTAATGATTTATGCTCTATTGTATCGATTTCTTAGTTAAATAATTACAAGCTAAAAAAAATTGACACTTCAATAATCTTAATAACAGCTCTGTTAAGCTGAATAAAAACCTTAAGCGGAGATATCACAGCTGTTGCGAAGCTGAATGTTCCAGGAAAAATGTTCCAATGAAACCCAGTAGTATTAATAACAGCTCTGATGCGCTGAGAGGAAAAAGCTACTAAGAAGCTGAGTGGTCAATGGATACAACTCAGATAAAATAATATGTAACGAGATTTTCTCGTTACGGCTTGAAATCCCCTTAAAAAGATAAGTGAACTCTCAAAATTGTTGAAGAGAGATAAGTAGTGACACCTAGAAGCGGCTGAAGAAAGCCGGGACTAGGTGAGATAAACCACAAACCAATGAAAGACCTAAGGCATAGCGGTTATGGGTGAAACCGCGACCCCTGGAGGTCTGGAGGGCGTACTAGACTATCGCCGTATTAGAATTCGCCCAGCATGTGCTAGGGGAAATGGGGCCGATGTACAGGCCGTCCAACTGGGCGATTCTATAGGCTATGTCGGAGTAGGCTAGGGACCAACGGCCAGGTGAAAGGACTGGTACCTCCGTGATCCCGTCGGGTTGATTGGTGAGGATAGGGTAACGGAATGACCTATCGTCGCCGAGATATCCAGACTAGGAGGCAAGGCCCTAGTAAGATTCCGGGGCAGTCGAACGCGAGCGCTTGAACCGAGAGGTTGAAATAATCTCTCGGTGTGCTGGGTGGTGGAATAGCTGAAGAAGCCAGGATAAGGAGTTCCGGACTCCACGTCGCCTCGGTGAATAACCGTTGGCGGCGAGCGTAGGGGGATGCAGGAGCATGAATAATATTATATTTTTTTTAGCTTGTAATTATTCAACTAATAAATCGATACGATAGAGCATAAATCATTAGTGTTTTCATTCATTATGCCTTCATTCAATCGTCAAATAATCTTAGCAAATGGGCGAGAGGGCTGGTTATCTGATGCTGAAATCGACAACTTCGCTGCACTTTTATATGACCAATTTCAGTTTGAATTGCGTGGACATTCATGCTCCCAGAATTCCTGGAACCTATCAATCCCAAAAACCCACATATTCATATACTACATCATTGTACTTTTTTCGACACTGAGTCTATTTATGTTTATGATTTCTCTAATGCATATGAGCTTAACGAACGTCATAGAATATATTTACGAATGTTATACCCTTTATTAGTCTTTGATGAAAACACGAATGTTAAATTTTACAATGTTCAACAGCAACCGAATTTCAGTGATTGTAGGGTTTTCGCAAACGCTTTTGCTGTTTCGATTGCTTTTGTAGAAAATCCAGAGGAAATTACATATGATATATCAACAATGCGTCAGCATTTATTGCAAATGTTCGAAACTAGAATAATTACCAAGTTCCCATCTAGTACAATGCATACGTGCTCAAGGCATTCTCGGAAGCGAACAACATTAATGCCATGTAATCCAATGAAGGAAAAACGATTATTGTTGAATGGACATGAGGAAAATATGCAACTGGAGAATAAAGAAATCAATCGAGACCGAATTGATGGAAATTAATTGCAGGAGAATACAAGTGTATTAGATATGGGAACCAATGATTCCAGCAAGAATCAAGGCATCAAAAACTTTCCATCGAAGCGAGTTCTCTTCGATATACCTTGTGACGGTGATACAGGGGTACCTTGTAAAAAGACACGTCGAAATCTCCAAAATCGTAATTTGGCACCCTTACGTGATGAATGGATGAACATGATCTGTAGTAATGAACGACTGAAAGACGAGCATATTAGATTCTTTGGGCACATTTTGTCTAGACACTCAGATTATTGCCCTCAAGATATGTTATTGGTGCAAAAGCCAGACAGAATCATACCAATACCTCTTGCGAAGAAACATATTCAGCTTTTGTATAGTAATGATATCCAAGGTAGCGGAAAATTAGGGCATTGGGTTTGTAGTTTCTATGATGGTAAACACATTTACATCTATGACTCTCTGAACAGTCATTTGTTACACAATGATCACATTGTATTTCTACAGCGTCTCTATCCAGTTTACAACGTCTCAAATAATTCAGTATGATTTATGACCGTTCAAACTCAAAATAATTCAGTTGACTGTAGCCTATTCGCTATATCCTTTGCTGTTACTGTACTATTCAGAGAAAAACCAGAATATGTCCAATATGATACGTCGAAGATGCGTCCACATTTGTTCAATATATTCCAAACAATGGAAATTAGGCCATTTCCAACCATTTCAAACTTTAACATATCTAAATCGTTATCTCTACCAGATATCCGACGAAAGGAGCGGTACGCATATAACCAGCGCAATCTTATTGATAGGAACTCTCTACACTCGAATAATTCTAATCAAAAGTGCGAAAAAACGAAGAATCTTGAGTATACTGATAATGAAAAACCCAATGTGGACAGATGTCCTCGTCAGAGACAATCTGATATTACATCTGAGAACGGGAACGCTGGCACATTACGGCTAAAATCAGATGATAGAGATGCCTTTGCTGATATGGTAAACATTGATGCAGCCGATGACGTTGATCTTCGTGAATTGAGCCATTCTAAAACAAATATCATAAACACTGTTCATGTGAAGAACGAGAAAGTCACATATCCGGAGAATCGCTAACGGTATTGGAAAATAGACAAAAATCCTGCGGTAAAAAATCAAGCAAATAAGAAAAAACGAAAGCAATCAAAGAAAAAACTACCGAAGTTGATTCTAAAACCCGTGAAGTCAAGCGAGAAAATATTTCAACCGTGTCTCGTCCTGAAGGATACGTTGAAAAATTGACAGACCTTAACAAGATCAAAATAAATGGACCAAAATCCGGTAATAAAAAATCAATGAAACAAGAAGGAAAGAAAGTTATCAACGCAAAAACTGTAACAGTTAATTCTAAAACACAAGAAGTCAAACAAGAACATATCTCAACCAAGTCTCGTCCTGAAGAATACGTTGAAAAATTGACAGACGTTATCAAGACTGGAAGCACAAAAGATAGTCAAATGGTGTATGGAACAAAGAAAAAGTTACATAAAAGACTTGAATCGCTCGCTGAGTACACTCCATAAATTAGCAGATCATCATCTCACTAGAATGCATGGTAATAAAAATGGACATAAAGCAACGAACCTTTGTGGATTATCTAGGCATACATCATCGACAGAATCTTACTTTTATGAAATGATATATGCATTTGATATTCCAAAAATATACAAAATAGAAATGAATTCGAAAGGGCAAGCTATGAATATATTGCCCTTGATTAAAAATAGGTTACATAGAAAAAAATGGGTGTGTAATCAATATTGCCAAGTTGTCCAGAATGAAGATGTCTTAGAGGATTATAAAAAGTTTCTCGAGCGTCTGGCGGTGCAAAAGTTACGCACACTCCCAGAGTTTTTGCAAGGCTGTTTCTTCAAACATTCGCAAAATAAGTTAGGCCATTTGGTGCAGTGTTACATGCAGCAGAATCCATGCCAATCTTTGTTTTTCGCTGTTGAAATGCTAGCATCTCACTTTCCAATTGTGAGGAATGTTAAAAGAATTTTATATAAGATGAATGAAACATTCGGGAAGTTATCTCATCTAGATGATGCTCTGGAGTCAATGAATTTGCAGACATTAGGGAAGATATCCAATGATATGAAGAGTTCCGGGCAATCGTTCGACTCTTCCCCAACAAAAAATGATAATCTGGATGACGATATGATACAGGCCAAGCATAAAAAGGCCTTTATAGCAATAACCAAGCGGGGTATCCCCGAATATTCTTGCATTTCGTGCCAGAAACTGAATCCCAAAAGTGCCGTTAGAGCTGTTGAGAACCTACGAAATGATATTCCATGCATGCATTGGAAGAATCTGTTAGCGTTCGTTGAAAAAGATCACTTCTATTTTGGTGATTACATATGTGACTATTGCTTGGGAAAATTCCGGAAAAATCAGTTACCACCGACTTGCATTTTAAATATTCAGACCATAGGTGATGTCCCTGAAGAGATGAAAAATTTGAATGATTATGAGAAAATACTTATCCAAAGAGCGAAAGTATTTCAAGTTGTGCAGAGAGCGGGAACAGTCCAAAAAAGGAACGTACCACATACCATGCGAATTCAGAAACTGAAAGGCCAGACGTTTCACTTGCCATTGTCAATGGAAGAAACCCTCGGTAAAATAGCTTCAACAACTGAACCTATTAATAAAGATCATGAGTTGTATATTTTAATTCGAGGAATTCCTACCAAGGCAAATATTGTTTGGCAGAAATTGGTGAATATGGAGAAGGTCTTGTTAGCCTTGAAATGGTTACAATGCAATAATCCTCTGTATGCTAATATCGAATTACCAGTATCAGCTCAAAATTTGATGGAATGTTTATCGAAGGACGATGTTGAATATCACATTGAATCAGGTGGGAACGATACAGATGGTGACACTGATGATCAAGATAAAATTTCAACTGTCAGTGAGGCAGATGTGAACGAGGAAACTAGGGAAGAAAAATTGTTACTTGATGTGACTAATGGTGGACAGAAATCGATGAATGATGAAAAAGGGAGTAAAAGTAGTGAAGGTGCAGTTGTATCGTCTCGTGGTGAAAAGGATCCTCCTAAGCCATCCCGGATGGTTACTCAGATTTTCGAAGACACCCAGCGTAGCGAGCAATATACTGTTTATCCGATGTACGATAAACGAGTGAATGAGACCGTATGTAATTTATACCAAATGAAAAAGTGCGAGATGTACTATTGAATTATCACTTGAAAAACTTGGATTTGTTGTGTTTTCCCGATCTATATCTATATGGCCAAAATGGACAAGGTGAAGAACGTACTACACATATTATGGATCAAGAATATATTAAAATGCGTCTCTGCTCGAAAATACCACGTTTCCGATTAAACCAACAGTATTTATTTTATCTGTTGAATAATACTAATATAAGACAAATCAACAGTGGTATTTATCATACTTTGCGTGTGACTAACCCACGGCAGAAACATACCGCTGACAGTTACTTGCAACAAATACAAAACGGAGGGGCGGAAGGGAATATGAACACGATTTTCGACCGTCTTAGTAATTCCGAACAGTACTGGCGCAAACCACGGAACAGTTTGAAATGCATGGCTAGACATTATGGACCAGCGACATGGTTTCTTACGGTCAGTCGTGCAGAGTGGAATTGGAAAGACATGGTTTTTACATCTGCGCAGAATTAATTCTCCGCATTTGGACAAATTATCTGATGGTGAAGTGATCGCGGCAGATCCGGTTTCTGTATCTAGATATCTTGATATGAAATTTCATGCTCTGCTGGATTTCCTTCTATCAGATGACCATCCCATTGGAAAAATTATACACTATTTTTGGCGAAGAGAATACCAAGGGCGTGGAACTCAACACTTTCATTTATTGATATGGGTTGAAGGCGCACCAATCGTCGGTATCAATTCCAATGATGAAGTAGCCGATTTCATAATGAAGTACGTTACTTGCACTACACCTGATAAAAAAAATTCCCCAACTTTATACCGCCGTGTTACAACACATCAGAAGCATAACCATAACAGTTATTGCTTACGATCAAAAAAAGAGAAATCTGGAAGAATAACAAAAAAATGTCGATTTGGTTTTCCACGTCCCGAAACGGATAAATTCGTATTGCGTGATCCTGCCATTTCAATCGCTGGTCGAAAGAAATTGAAGACGAAATCCAGATTCTATGACCTCCCTCGAAGTAAAGAAGAAGTTTTCACTAATGATTATAATCCGGCAATTCTCGTTGCATGGGAAGGTAATATGGATATTCAGTTTATCGTAGAAAGCTCATCTCTTTTAACTCAGTACTGTACGAAGTACTCCACAAAATACGAAATATCAAAATCGTCTACTGTTATGAAGAAGCGACTTCTACAAGAACAGTGAGACAAAAATTGTGGAATGTTGGGATACGGGCTCTCCAACATCGTGAACTCGGAGCTCTTGAAGCTGCTGACGCGCTATTGGGAATTTCATTATATGGAACTGATGCAAACACCACTATTAAATGGTTGGATGTAAGAATGGTTCGAAGCCGGAAAGTCAAGAATTATGATGAAATAAGGAAATTAGAGAAAGAATCAACGGATATCTTTTGTCCCTCATTTATAGATGATTATTATCCTAATCGTCCCAAGAAACTCGAGTCGTTATGTCTATACGACTTTTGTAAGTGGTATGACATTGTTCGTACAGAACCGAAAACTGAAGGAATCGAATATTACACGTTGAAACCTTCTTTATTTTTTAAAAGGCGTGATTAGGGTTACTTGATCAATCACTGGAGACACAACATTAATACTGAGCCGGAAAAGTATTTCTTCACATTGCTATTACTGTTCAAACCTTGGGGAGATACAGATCAATTGCGAGAAGGTTTTCCGTCCTGTACTGAAGCTTTTGAGAATGACAAAGAATCTCTTGCTAAAGCCTGTGAATATCATAATGAAATCGAGACTTTCCAAAAAGGATTCAATTACATTTTAGAACAGATCCGTAATGAACTCGAAGAACCCGAAGGTGAAGAGACGTCTCCTGGGGTCCAGGTCGGTTGTGATCCGAAAGAAGGCAAGATGGCTATGAAAGAGTTCAACGATATGGAGGATAAAGTAGTAAAGAACATAGATTTGAATGCTATGATGGCACAAATGAATGTTGACCAAACAAGAGGTTTCGAAAAAGTGAAACATACACTATCTTCCAAGAATGAAATCTTGCGTCTCTATGTCAGCGGTGCTGGTAGTATAGGGAAAAGTTTCTTAATTGAAGTGATAAGAACTTGGATTAGTAAGGAAATGGATCGTAAACCAGCAGTCACAGCTCCAACAGGTATAGCAGCTTTCAATATCAGTGGATTAACTATCCACAGATACTTCCAACTCCCTATAGAACATGATGATACTCCACAATATAGGCAATTATCTGATAATTTGTTGAAACTCATGCGTGAGGAAATGCGTAATGTTGAACTCATCAGAATTGATGAAATATTGATGGTTTCCAATACTACTCTTTTGTATATCAGTCAACGGCTCATGGAAATATTTGACACATTTGAAGAGAATGATGATTGGTTTGGTAAGAAACACATTCTCTTTTTCGGAGATTTGTTACAACTTCCACCTGTGCGCCAAGATCCACCTTATGTGAAGTTATCATCGATTGAGGTAGAAAAACGATTAGGATCCATGTGTAGTATAAATATGTGGGTAGATCGATTCAAATACGATGAGTTAACGATAAATATGCGGCAACAGAAAGATCGAGCTTATGGAGATCTTCTTTCCCGATTGAGAGATGGTGCAATAACTGCTGAAGACATCAATTTATTGGAAACTCGAAAATTCGATATAAAATCACCGAACACAGCAAATCGAGTTCGTATTCTTTCCTCGTACATGAAGGACTTGCCTCCAGATGCGGTGTGTTTACTTGCAACTCGTAAACAATGTGAATGCTTGAATACTATCATGTTGGAAGAGCTTCCCACAGATGAAATAGTACTCATTGCTGAAGACTCAATATACTGTCATAATCCCAGACTCAAAGCGGCGGCTAAGAGAATCCTTGCGAAGGCGGAA